CAACTGGAATAAACAGTTATCCAACAAAAGATATGAAAATAGCCAATAAACACACAAAAACATGTCCAACTTGATTAGCCATCAGGGAAATCAAAATCCAACTCACAGTAGGATACCACTTCACATCTACAAGGACAGCTGTACTTTTTTAAGATGTTTTTTTTTTTTTTTTTGAACAGTCTCGCTCTGTTGCCCAGGCTGGAGTGCAGTGGCCGGATCTCAGCTCACTGCAAGCTCCGCCTCCCGGTCTACGCCATTCTCCTGCCTCAGCTCCCGATAGCTGGATATAGGCGCCCGCCACCTCGCCGGCTAGTTTTTGTATTTTTAGTAGAGACGGGGTTTCACTGTGTTAGCCAGGATGGTCTCGATCTCCTGACCTCGTGATCCGCCCGTCTCGGCCTCCCAAAGTGCTGGGATTACAGGCTTGAGCCACCGCGCCCGGCCAAGATGTTAAATAACAAGTGTTGACAAGGATGTGGAGAAAATGGAACTCTTGTACATTACTGGTGGGAAGATAAAATTGCGCAGCAAGCTGTGGAAAACAATTTGGCTGTTTCTCAAAAAAATTAAACATTGAATTATATGACCCAGCAATTCTGCTCCTAAGTATACCCCAAAGAAATAATCACAAAGATTCAAAAAGATACTTCTAGGTATATGTTTATTGCAGCACTATTCACAGTAGCAAAAATGTAGGAAAAAAAAAAAAAAACATGTCCTTCAACTGATTAATGGGTAAAGAAATGAGGTACATTGGAATATTACTCACCCATAGAGAGGAATGAAGCTATAATGTGGGTGAACCTTAAAGTCATTATGCTCAGAGAAATAGCCAAGAAGCAAAATGATACCTGTGTATGATTTCACTTATATGAAACATGTAGACTATGCAGATTCATAGAGATAGCATCAATGGCTGGGCGCGGTGGCTTATACCTGTAATTCGAGCAGTTTGGGAGGCGGAGGTGGGTGGATCACTTGAGGTCAGGAGTTCGAGACCAGCCTGGCCAACATGGTGAAACCCCGTCTCTACTAAAAACACAAAAATTAGCCAGCCATGGTGGCACATGCCTGTAATCCTGGCTACACTGGAGGCTGAGGCAGGGGAATTGCCGGAACCTGGGAGGCAGAGGTTGCAGTGAGCCGAGATCATACCACTGCCCTCCAGCCTGGGTGACAGAACGAGATTCTGCCTCAAGAAAAAAAAAAATAGAGGTAGCATCAGTGGCTACCAAGGACTAGGGGCAGGGGAAAGTGGGGAGTTATTGATTAATAGTATGAAGTTTCTATGTGAGATGATGAAAATTTTCTGGAAAAAAATATAGCGGTGAGAAAGTAGAATATTGTGAATGTAATTAATGGCATTTAATTGTACACTTAACGTGATTAATGTGGCATATTTTATCTTATATATTTTACTACATCTAAAAAACACTGGGAGAGGGAAAGTCCACCATGTAAAATACATCCGTCTTAATCAGACGGTCCTCATTGTACCCATGTACAGGCCCCTCATGACCTTCTGCACAGCAATAACCGAGGATGTAAGGACATGAGGCTTCCCAGCCAACTGCAGATGCACAACACAAATATATCTGCAAAGAGACTGAGGCACAAACCTCAGCACTGCCAGGACATACCCCCTTCTCATGGATTCTGACTTTATCTGACCCAGCCCACTGTCCAGATCTTGTTGTGGGGTTGGGACAAGGAAGGTCATGAAGCCTGTTCCCGGGGCATTCTGTGTGAGCACACGAGACCCCCCGCCCCATTAAGTCTCCACACACAGCTCTAACCATCAGGCATTGTGAGGAGGACTCTAGCATGGGCTCAGGGATCACACCAGAGAATCAGCTACAGAGAGGAAGATGGGCTGGAGGAGCTGATGGATGACACAGAACGGGGTCCCTGCAGTTCACAGGTCCAGCTCACCCTGGCGTAGGTGCCCCCACCCCCTGATCCAGGCATCCCTGACACAGCTCCCTCCCGGAGCCTCCTCCCTGCTGACACATCAGGGACCCTTACTCAGGCTATCCAGAGAGGGCAGCACCTTGGACAGCTCCCACCCCCCACCCCCCCCCCCCAGCTTCACCCTTCCTCGCTCACAGGGCTCAGGGCTCATGGCTCAGAACAAATGGCAGAGGCCAGTGAGCCCAGATATGGTGACAGGGCAATGATCCAGGGGTAGCTGCCTGGAACAGGGGCAGATGAAGCCACAGATGGGAGAAGATGGCGCAGGAAGAAAACCCCAGGAATGGGCAGGAGAGGAGAGGAGGACACAGGCCAGTCTGTGGCTGCAGCCCAGGGTGGGACTGTAAGTGTGAAGACATCTCAGCAGGTGAGGCCAGGTCCCATGAACAGGGAACAAACTCTCACCTCCCCTGATGCAGGGACACAGAGAGTGTGTGGTGCTGTGCCCCCAGAGTCGGGATCCCCTGTTCTGGTCCCCAGGGAATAAGAAGTGAGATTGACTTGCCCCTGCTCCTCTCTGCTCCCCTGACATTCACCTTCCCCTCGTGCCCTTCCCTCTCTAATATGATTTGGATCTATGTCCCCGCCCAAATCTCATGTCAAATTGTAAACCCCAGTGTTGGAGGTGGGGCCTTGTGAGAAGTGATTGGATCATGTGGGTGGATTTTCTGCTTTGACACTGTTTCTGTGATAGAGGTTTCACGTGCTCTGGTTCTTTAAAAATGTGTAGCACCTCTCCCCTCTCTCTCTCTCTCTCTTACTCATGCTCTGCCATGTAAGACGTTCCTATTTCCCCTTCACCGTTCAGAATGATTGTAAGTTTCCTGAGGCCTCCCCAGGAGCAGAAGCCACTATGCTTCCTGTACAACTGCAGAATGATGAGCAAATTAAACCACTTTTCTTTATAAATTACCCAGTCTCAGGTATTTCTTGATAGCAATGCGTGGACAGACTAATACAATCTTCTACTCCCAGATCCCCGCACAGCGCTCAGCCCCAGACATCACTGCCCCTGGGGGCATGCACAGTGCAGCTTCCTGCAGACAAAAACAAAGTCACAACACGTGCATGACCCGTGTTCAACGTCTACAGATGAGTGTTGAGTAAAACAGCCTGGTCTGGGGTCGCTGCTGTCCCCACTTCCCTCCCCGTCCACCAGAGGGCGGCAGAGTTCCTCCCAACCTGGAGCCTCCCCAGAGGCTGCTGACCTCCTTCAACTGGTCCCACAGCCCAGCAGGGTCCACCCTCACCAGGGTCACCTCGGCCCACGTCCTCCTCGCCCTCCGAGCTCCCCACACAGACTCTGTCAGCTCCTCCCTGCAGCCCGGCGGCCGCCCACCTGAGGCCGCTCCCTCTGCAGGCAGCTCCTGTCCCCGACACCCCCTTCTTCCCAAGGCTCAGCTGAAAGGGCATTTCCCAGGGCAGCTCCCTGTGATGTCCGGACAGCTCAGTCTCTCACAGGCTCCGACGCCCCCAATGCTGTCATCTCACAGCCCTTCTCTCATTACCATTAACTCCTCAGCCCCACGAAGTTCACTGAGCGCCTGCTTCCCTGTTACAGGAAAACTCTGTGGATGCAGGGTCCACGCCTGTCCTGCTCTCTGTGGAATCCCAGGGCCCAGTCCAGTGCCTGACATGAGACAGATGCTCAATAAATACTGGTTAAATGTTTGGGAGATATCTAAAAAGAAGCATATCACCTCCGTGTGGCCCCCGGAAGTCAGAGTCTGTTCCTTGTGGACACAGGGGCACTGGCACCAGCTTGGGAGGAGGCCAGCAAGTGCCCACGGCTGCCCCAGGGACGAGTCCTCAACTCCCGGAGCTTCAGAAGGGAGGACAGAGGCCTGCATGGAATAGAACCTGGGCCGCCCCGACCCTGCAGCCTAATCCAGGGTTCAGGGTCAGCTCACACCACGTGGACCCTGGTCAACATCCCTAGGGCAGTTCCAGACAAGGCCGCAGGTCTCGTTTTGCCCTCCAGGGGGCGACATCGCAGACAGACAACACTCAGAAAATGGATTCCCCTGGACAGGAACCTGGCTTTGCTAAGGAAGTGTAGGTGGAGCCTGGTTTCCATCCCTTGCTCCAACAGACCCTTCTGATCTCTCCCTTGTACCTTTCTGGGTTCTATGAGTACCATGTTCTGCCAGGGGTCCCTGTGCAACTCCCGACTCCCTCCTGGTACCACCATGGGGAACGTGGGGTGACCACAGGACAGTCAGCCTCGCAGAGGACGGAGACCACCCAGGACAGTCAGGGAGAACACGGACAGGCCCTAAGTCACAGCTCAGCCCACAGATACGGAGAGGGAGGGTCCCCCTGGAGCCTTCCCCAAGGACAGCAGAGCTCAGAGCCACCCACCTCCCTCCACCACAGTCCTCTCTTTCCAGGACACACAAGACACCTCCCTCTCCACACGCCGGAGCTGGGGACTCCTGAGACCTCTGGGCCTGGGTCTCCATCCCTGGGTCAGAGGCCGGGCTGGTGGTACTAGAGACAGAGGGCTGGTCCCTCCCTAGTCACCACCCAGTGAGCCCTTTTCTATCTCCCAGAGCCACCTCCGTCACCTTCCTACCGAACATCAATCCCACCTTCCCAGAGCACTGGAGAGCGTGGGGAGACCCGGAGCCCAGCTGGGTTTCTCTGTGACAAAGGAAAATAATCCCCCTGGTGTGACAGACCCAAGGCCAGAACACAGTAGAGTTCAGCACTGGGGAAGGCAGGTTGTCCTCCCAGGGGACGGGAGTCCATCCACCTTGCCAAAAAGCTTTGTCTGGGGAACTGAAAATAGAAGGGAAAAAGGAGGAGGGACAAAAGAGGCAGAAATGAGAGGGGAGGGGACAGAGGACACCTGAATAGAGACCACACCCATGACCCACATGATGCCGAGAAGTACTCCTGCTGTAGGAGGAGACTCAGGACAGAGGGAGGAAGGACAGCAGACCAGGCAGTCACAGCTGCCCTGACAAGAGCGTTCCTAGAACTCAGGATCTTCTCCACAGAAGAGGACAGAGCAGACAGCAGAGACCATGGGGTCTCCCTCAGCCCCTCTTCACAGATGGTGCATCCCCTGGCAGACGCTCCTGCTCACAGGTGAGGGGAGGACAACCTGGGAGAGGGTGGGAGGAGGCGGCACAGAGACTGGTTGGGGTCTCCCGGGGAGGACAGGGCTCTGAGACGGACAGAGGGCTCCTGTTGGAGCCTGAATAGGGAAGAGGACATCAGAGAGGGACAGGAGTCACACCAGAAAAATCAAATTGAACTGGAATTGGAACAGGGCAGGAAAATCTCAAGCATTCTATTTTCCTAGTTAATTGTCACTGGCCACTACATTTTTAAAAGTCGTAATAACTGCATCAGATGACACTTTAAATAAAAACATAACCAGGGCATGAAACATTGTCCTCACCTGCCTACCGCAGACATTGGAAAATAAACCCCAGGCCGTTGAGGGCCCTGAGAAGGCTCATGAGCTCATCACAGGAGTCTGCAGCCTGTCCCAGGCACTGATGTGCACCCAAGATCACACAAGTCCCTGCCCTCATGAAGCTCATGCTCTCATGGGGAGGAAGGCAGACAGGCAAAGAGATCTAGAATGTGAGGTCAGGTGTTGACAAGAGCCCTGGTGGGAACAGAGCAGGGAAAGGTCAGAAAGAAAAGAACCAGGGTCTCTAGAGGAGGTGTCAGGGACGGAGTCTCCCAAGAATGCCCTGATGTGAGCAGGACCTGAGGCCAGTGGGGAGGCAGTCGCGCAGACCCCTGGGGAGCAGCATTCCACAGAGGGAAATGCCAAGGTCGGAGGTGCTAAGGAAATAGGAGTCATGCTGCTGACCTTGATCCAGTAGGACACACATATACACACACACTCACTCACTCACTCCGGGGCTGGGGGATGAAGAGACCTGCTCAGGACCCAGGGCCCCGTTTTTCCACCCTAATGCATAGGTCCCAATATTGACCGATGCTCTCTCCTCTCTCCTAGCCTCACTTCTAACCTTCTGGAACCCGCCCACCACTGCCCAGCTCACTATTGAATCCAGGCCGTTCAATGTTGCAGAGGGGAAGGAGGTTCTTCTACTTGCCCACAATGTGTCCCAGAATCTTTTTGGCTACATCTGGTACAAGGGGGAAAGAGTGGATGCCAGCCGTCGAATTGGATCATGTGTAATAAGAACTCAACAAATTACCCCAGGGCCCGCACACAGCGGTCGAGAGACAATAGACTTCAATGCATCCCTGCTGATCCACAATGTCACCCAGAGTGACACAGGATCCTACACCCTACAAGTCATAAAGGAAGATCTTGTGAATGAAGAAGCAACTGGCCAGTTCCGGGTATACCGTGAGTGATTCCCCATGACCTCTGGGTGTTGGGGTTCAGTTCTACTTCCCACATACGGGATTCTCAGGCCTGGGCTGTGCCTGTGCCCTCTCTGTATTACGTGCCGTGTTAGGGTTTGGACATTTAGTGCAGGACACACACAGAAGAGACAAACTTCCACAGATCAGAATTCCTTTCTGGCATCCAGATCCTGCAGACACTCACTGCAGAGGAAGGACAGTCTGATGGGGGGACTCAGCAGGGGGAGGTCAGTCTCAGCCTAGCACCCCATGCCTTCCCCATAAACCTGACCCTGAGAAAGACCCTGGAGAACTGGATCAGGGCCTGGCCTGAAGGACTTCCTGGGATCTTCACAGAGAAGCTCAGCCCCAGGGCTCCTGACTCCAGGTGACCCAGGGGAGCCTGTGCCAGGGCTAGGTTGTGGCCTCCTGGGCAGGGCTGACTGGGAGGAAGGACTTACCAGCTTGTCCAAGGGCCGTGGCTCCTGGAGCTGGATTCTGGATGCAGAATTGGAGTTTCTGGCCACACCTGTTCCCTGTCCCCAGAGTCTCATCTGGGCAAGGACAGAGCCTTGTCCTTTACTTGAGACTCAATGTGGGGAGGATAGATAGACAAGGTTACTAGGGCATCAGTCCATTGCCCTGGGGACATAGGTGACTCCATGGGAAGTTCAGTGTCCTCAGAAGGAGGAACAGAGGAGAGAAGATGCTCCCGGCAGCTCCTTGTCCACCAGGGATCAGGCCCAGGGCCCTCTCTCTTAGAGGCAAATCAACATAAATGCTCTTCATTTGGGCAGTTCCTCTGTGCAGAGCTGAGATCAAGTGATCGTAAATATTTTGAGGTTAATTCACAAACAATCTCACAGCCAAATAACACTTATCCTACTTATTGAAAGGAAATTGAGGCACAGGGAGACAGTCACGAAAAAGGGTCACACAGGCTATAGATGGCAGATTAGAGACATATGAGGTCTGTCTGCAGCCAGAACCGCCTCCTCTCCTCAACCCAGGGTGGGCGGGGCTGTTTATTGTCAGGCATTTGCAGACCTGAGACCAGTCATGGGTCTGCTTCCTTTTGTCTTGTGCATCCACAGCTCAGAAGTGGAGATTCTGGTCTGGAGAGTGAGAAGTAAATGGAGAGCTAATCAGTTTTACTCTAGAACTAAATCACCTCAACTGTCAGGGTCAGTGCCAGGATTGTCCAGGCCTCTCCCTTAGATCCACAGCTCCCTCACTGGACCTGAAATCCTGTGTTTCCCGATTTGTCAGTGTCACTCCCATGGGAGGATAAAGGAAAGGATTTCGCTTTCTCTCCGCACTCACATCCCTGCGCCAACACAGGCCCAAAGTGAGACACACTCTTGCTCAGTAGCTCTCTCATGAAGGAGGGAATGAATGAAGGAATGATCCATAATCTCTATAGAGACTGGATCCTGGATGCAGAATCCTAGGAAGTTCTGGCCGGTTGCCTGTCCGTCAGGGGCTAAGATCCATGTACCATTCCTCTGACTCCCTGTCCTGAAAGTAACTCTATCTCATGTGACTCTGGGGTTCCTTGGCCATGGGAGGGTTTTCAAGGCTCCCTGGTCCTGGTCAGGACAGCCAAGGGACTCCTGCTCCTGGGGTCTCTGAGGTCACTATACCCCACATGTCTCATTGCCATGGGCATTTCTGACTGTCTCCTGTTCCTCCGTGCTCCTCCCTCTTCATTCCAGCTGAGATGCCTATCCCTGAACATCTCCCTCCACTCTTAGGCCTTCCCCAGACACTCCCTCGAACAAGGCTGGCTGTCCTGTTTTCTTCCCGCTCACACTGTGGCCTGGCCCACTTCCCAGGCAATAGGGAAGGCACAGAAATCAGCTGGAGCAGCCGCTCCTGCCAGGCTCCATCACAAGTCAATGTCAACAGGTCACCAGGAGAATGAGCTTCCGCTGTGTCCCCACCCAGGGCTCTTTACCTCCATGAGGCCAACACGCAGAACAGGCAGCAGGACAAGGATGAGCAACTCCTCCATCCACTTCCTACACTGACTCACCAGGAGGTCAGAGGCAGAAGGACAGGTCTGCAGTCCCCAAAGCCCACATGCTTATTCCACCCATTTCACTACCTACTCCATCTTCATCCTGGTGTGGGGCTCACATCCTCCAGTGGATCCTGGGGCCTCCCCCAGGTGCAGCTGGCCAAGCAGGTGCTGTCTGATGGGTTTGCTGTCCATTCTACATATACCTGTGTCCTCGTGATGATGCCATTGTCATAAGGTGGGGTCCCTTGGACTGAGAAGTGCACCAGCCACTGGCGTCTCACTTAGACTTTGCCCAGTTATACAAACTTAAACTCTAGTTGTGCTTTCTGAGGTTGATAGGAGAGGAAGAAAATCTTTCACATGCCTGATTTGGGGCTTCTCCTCTTTTTGCCTAACTCTGCACAGGAACCAGGGGCAGGGAGCGCTTTCTAAACTTACTAACATAACACACATCGCTTCTCCTAATTTGGCATCATTTCTCCCTTTATGTAATTGACACACCTAAGACTTCCTCTCTGACCAGTTCTGTCCTCCTAACAGGACTCATACTCTTCTCTCTACTCAGGGAGTCACTGATTTCAAACCACCTTCAGCATCTGCCTTTGAGCATAATGTGATCCCACTGGAATTGAGAGCAGACCTAAACCTTCGTATAATATCAAGAGAAGTACTACTTCCAGCAACTGATCTTAGATCTTTAGGCCATTAACAACAATTTCCACTTCTGGAAAAAATTTAATGTTTCCCCCAAATGTCTTTCATTTTTTTTAACTATAGTCAGAAAATAACATGAGATCAAAACTACTGACAAATTTTTAAGGGCAAATTATAGTATTACAGGTTGAGTATCCCAAATCCAAAAATCCAAAATCTAAAATGCTCCAAAATCCAACATTTTTTGACCACTGACATGATGCTCAAAAGAAATGCTCACTGGAGGCTGGGAGTGGTAGCTCACGCCTGTAATCCCAGCACTTTGGGAGGCCGAGGCAGGAGGATCATGAAGTCAAGAGATCAAGACCATCCTGGCCAACATGGTGAAATCCCATCTCTACTAAAAATACAAAAATTATCTGGGTGTGGTGGCGTGTGCCTGTAGTCTCAGCTACTTGGGAGGCTGAGGCAGGAGAATAGCTTGAACCCAGGAGGTGGAGGTTGCAGTGAGCTGAGATCGTGCCACTGCACTCTAGCCTGGCAATAGAGCGAGACTCCATCTCAAATTTTAAAAAAGGTGGGGGGAGGGGAGAGAGAGATAGAAAAGAAGAGAAAAGAAAAAAAGAAAAGCTCACTGGAGCACTTTGGATTCTGTATTTTCAGATTTGGGATGCTAAACTGGTAAGTATACTGCAAATATTTTCAAAACTCAAAAACAGTCAAAAATCCAAAACACTTTTAGTCCTAAGCCTTACGCATAAGAGATACTCAATCTGTATGAACTATAGGCACCAAGCTGAACAGCAGATCTCTAGCACCTCTTCATCCTGAGTAACTGAAACTGCAGAGCCATGAACAACTCTCCATTCCCCCACCTCCCAGGCCCTGATAACCACCATTCTACTCTCTGATTCCACGAGTGTGGCTACTCTAGGGACCTCATATAAGTGGAATCCTACAGTATCTGCCCTGTGAGTGGCTTACTTCATTTAGCATAATGTCGAATGGGAGAAAATAATTGCAGAATTTCTTCTCAAAGTTCTATCTCATAACTGTCAAAGACACGTGGTCCTTGAGGGCCAGATTTCCAGCAGTTCATGCTTTCTCTTTTCCACCAGTCAGTTCTGCATTTGCAAATGTCTACATGTATTTATGGAGAGATCCACAGGTCCTCGCCTGCCCTCTGCAAGGGGAGAAGGGACATTAAAGACTGAAGACAGGCTGGGCATAGTGGCTCATGCCTATAATCCCAGCCTTTTGGGAGGCTGAGGTGGGCAGACCACCTGAGGTCAGAAGTTCAAGACCAGCCTGACCAAGATGGTGAAACCCAATCTCTACTAAAAGTATGAAATTTAGCCAGGCATGGTGGTGGGCGCCTGTAGTCCCAGCTACTTGGGAGGCTGAGACAGGAGAATTGCTTGAACCCGGGAGGCAGAGGTTGCAGTGAGCCAAGATCGTGCCTGGCCGACACAGCAAGGCTCCGTCTTGAAAAATAAACAAACAAAAAAAGACCAAAGACAAAGAACATACATATGGTTCTGCTGTTAAATCCAGGCAGCTCCTGCCTGTCACCTCACTCTTTTCTAGATCATTCCCTGGACTCCACTCTATCTTTAGGGGTCACTGGCTCAAGTCAGTCATCATCAAACACCTGGGGAAAACTGCCCCACCTTGTGCCTCCACTGCCTGACGACTGAGCTGACCTCCAGGCTTGCCTCTGGTGTCCCCTGTCTTATTTCTGCTGAAACATCCAGTCCCAGGCCAGGCTGTACAATATCTACAGGGTTTAAGGACAATGGGAAGTCCTATCGCCATCCATTTCTAGGATGTCCTTAGACAGGGAAGTTGCAGAAAAAATACACCTAGGGAAACAAAGCAGAACTGAAGGTGGAAGGGACTCAGCACCTGAACGTTCCAGGTGAGGACCCCAAGGTGGGCCAGGCAGTCAGCTGGTCAGGGAGGGACCAGGAGAGGCACCAGGAGCTGTGACTCCCCCCAGTCCTGTGTCTGTCCACAGCCCAGTGCTGCCGCTCAATTCACAGAAAGTCTGTGATTCTCCCACACAGAGCTCTCAGATCATCATGCATCTGTCTTGTGACACACACACCTGCCGTGGGCTTTTAAGGACTCAGGTGGGCTGAGGGGTGGGAGTTGGGAGAGCCAACTCTGATTGAAAGATGCCTGTGGAGGAATCAAAGGTGCCACACAGGACAATCTTCTCTCTGTTACCTGCACAGCGGAGCTGCCCAAGCCCTACATCTCCAGCAACAACTCCAGCCCCGTGGAGGACAAGGATGCTGTGGCCTTAACCTGTGAACCTGAGACTCAGGACACAACCTACCTGTGGTGGGTAAACAATCAGAGCCTCCCGGTCAGTCCCAGGCTGGAGCTGTCCAGTGACAACAGGACCCTCACTGTATTCAATATTCCAAGAAATGACACAACATCCTACAAATGTGAAACCCAGAACCCAGTGAGTGTCAGACGCAGCGACCCAGTCACCCTGAATGTCCTCTGTGAGTATCTCTGCTCCTCTCTGGCCCAGGCTGCCGGCCCAAATCCACAGGATCAGAGGCCAGGCCTCTCAGTCCCTCTCAGGTTCAAGTACACAGACCGTCACCCCTGGACATCCAGACTGTCTGTGACTTTCTGCCCCAGAAAAACCTGGGCAGACCAAGTCTTGATCAAGAATAGGAGGGGAGGGGCTGCTCCTGTCCCGGGAGGCTCAGGGTCCACACCCTGTGATGGGAGAAACAGGTGAATGTCTCAGACTCAGGCTCAGTAGATACAAGAGGGGTTTGGTTGAGACTTTAGGGTTGTGACTGAGCTTAGAGGGACACCATGGTCCTTCCACAGACCAGGAACTTCCACTTCCCTCTGACAACCTCACCTGTGACTTTATTCTCTTTGCTCCAGATGGCCCGGATGCGCCCACCATTTCCCCTCTAAACACACCTTACAGAGCAGGGGAAAATCTGAACCTCTCCTGCCACGCAGCCTCTAACCCAACTGCACAGTACTTTTGGTTTGTCAATGGGACGTTCCAGCAATCCACACAAGAGCTCTTTATCCCCAACATCACCGTGAATAATAGCGGATCCTATATGTGCCAAGCCCATAACTCAGCCACTGGCCTCAATAGGACCACAGTCACGGCGATCACAGTCTACGGTAAGTGGATCCACGAGTGCTGACATCACGTTTTGAGGTGGAGTCTGTCTGGTTTTCAGAGAAGAGCCAGGAAGAAATTTTCTATCCCAGCCTGTGTCCAATGGGCACAAGCAAATCCCAGATTCTCCCGCTGGACCTCCCCAGTGTGTCTCTACAGACTCTCTTCTCTGTATTGTTCTGATTTCTCATGGCTGACCCCGGGTCCAGCCTGGAATGTGGGGAGGAGGCTCCCTCAGCCCCCGAGCCCTGTATAGTGGAGGAAACTTCACAGAGTGGGAAGGAGCAAGGGTTCTCAAGGTCAAGTTGCTTCTCTCTGTCACCAATCTGTCCCTTTCTATCACCTCTTTGTGTTCTTTTGCCTACTCCGTGAACTGCAAGGAACATTCGAGGCTTTGAAACAAGCTCAGACTTTTTTCCTAAATGAGAGAAGGAAGCCCCTTGGGTAAGGGAGAAACAGCTCAGACTTTGCTCCCTGCTCTGCTCTGGGCTCCCCCCCGTGGCTGGCCTTGTCTGACTCCACCTGGGGTGGGACCCGCGTGTGTGGAGAAGGAGCCCGGGTGGTCTATCCTGAATTAGGCTAAATCAAGCTGCCAATCAACACCAAAGCCTTCCTTCGTCTCAGTCAGGCTGCAGGAAAATGGAAAGAAAGGGATCCTCAGGGGAGGCTCCTGAGCTGTGTCCTGGCTCTGACGTCATCAGGTATATGAGGCTGTGGGCACAGCACATGGGACACAGCACAGGGGACAGCGAGCGACCCACACTTGGAGAAATCAGGAGATGCACCACAGGGGCTCTGTATGGCAGGGAACGGGCAGTGTCAAAAATTGTGTATTTATACAGAGGGTAGCAGTGCATATCTATCACAGACTTCCCATCTTAACCTTTCTACACGTGCAGTTCAGTGGTATTAAATCTATTCCCCTTGTTCTGCTACCATCACCATCTGTCCACACAACTCTTCTTCCTCCCAAAATGAAACTCTGTTCCCATCAAACTCCTGGGCAGAGCTGCCCCACCTGTGGCCCACAGTCTGACCCTTGACCTGTCACCTTTAGACTTGCTCCTAGTCTCCTGCACTATTTCTGCTCAAACACCCATCCCCATCATCACCCATCTCTAGGATGTCCTTAAATAGCAAAGCCTCAGAGAGAACATACCTTGGCTGGGTGGTGCGGGACCGTGCAGCTGGAAGAAACTCAGCTCCTTCCAATTCCAGGTGAGGACCCCAATGGGCCAGGCAGCCAGCCAGTCAGGAAAGGACCAGAAGTGCTGGGGGCTGTGACCCCCAGTCCTGTGTCTGTCCACAACCCAACGCTACTGCCCAATTCACACTTGAGAAAAGTCTGTGCTTCTCCCACACAAAGCAGCCGGCCTTACAGTCTCTGAGCCCTCAGATCATTGTGCATCTGTCTTGTGACACACACACACCTGCCCTGGGCTTTTAAGGACTCAGATGGGCTGAGGGGTGGGAGATGCCAACTCTGATTGAAAGATGCCTGTGAGGAATCAAAGGTGCCACACAGGGCAATCTTCTCTCTGTTATCTTCACAGCGGAGCTGCCCAAGCCCTACATCACCAGCAACAATTCCAACCCCATAGAGGACAAGGATGCTGTGACCTTAACCTGTGAACCTGAGACTCAGGACACAACCTACCTGTGGTGGGTAAACAATCAGAGCCTCTCGGTCAGTTCCAGGCTGGAGCTGTCCAATGACAACAGGACCCTCACTCTATTCAATATTCCAAGAAACGACACAACGTTCTACGAATGTGAAACCCAGAACCCAGTGAGTGTCAGACGCAGCGACCCAGTCACCCTGAATGTCCTCTGTGAGTATCTCTGCTCCTCTCTGGCCCAGGCTGCCGGCCCAAATCCACAGGATCAGAGGCCGGGCCTCTCAGTCCCTCTCAGGTTCAAGTACACAGACCGTCACCCCTGGACATCCAGACTGTCTGTGACTTTCTGCCCCAGAAAAACCTGGGCAGACCAAGTCTTGATCAAGAATAGGAGGGGAGGGGCTGCTCCTGTCCGGGGAGGCTCGGGGTCCACACCCTGTGATGGGAGAAACAGGTGAATGTCTCAGACTCAGGCTCAGTAGATACAAGAGGGATTTGATTGAGACTTTAGGGTTGTGACTCAGCTTAGAGGGACACCATGGTCCTTCCACAGACCAGGAACTTCCACTTCCCTCTGACAACATCACCTGTGGCTTTATTCTCTTTGCTCCAGATGGCCCGGATGCGCCCACCATTTCCCCTCTAAACACACCTTACAGAGCAGGGGAAAATCTGAACCTCACCTGCCACGCAGCCTCTAACCCAACTGCACAGTACTTTTGGTTTGTCAATGGGACGTTCCAGCAATCCACACAAGAGCTCTTTATCCCCAACATCACCGTGAATAATAGCGGATCCTATATGTGCCAAGCCCATAACTCAGCCACTGGCCTCAATAGGACCACAGTCACGATGATCACAGTCTACGGTAAGTGGATCCACGAGCGCTGACATCACGTTTTGAGGTGGAGTCTGTCTGGTTTTCAGAGAAGAGCCAGGAAGAAATTTTCTATCCCAGCCTGTGTCCAATGGGCACAAGCAAATCCCAGATTCTCCCGCTGGACCTCCCCAGTGTGTCTCTACAGACTCTCTTCTCTGTATTGTTCTGATTTCTCATGGCTGACCCCGGGTCCAGCCTGGAATGTGGGGAGGAGGCTCCCTCAGCCCCCGAGCCCTGTATAGTGGAGGAAGCTTCACAGAGTGGGAAGGAGCAAGGGTTCTCAAGGTCAAGTTGCTTCTCTCTGTCACCAATCTGTCCCTTTCTATCACCTCTTTGTGTTCTTTTGCCTACTCGGTGAACTGCAAGGAACATTTGAGGCTTTGAAACAAGCTCAGACTTTTTTCCCAAATGAGAGAAGGAAGCCCCTTGGGTAAGGGAGAAACAGCTCAGACTTTGCTCCCTGCTCTGCTCTGGGCTCCCCCCCGCCGTGACTGGCCTTGTCTGACTCCACCTGGGGTGGGACCCGCGTGTGTGGAGAAGGAGCCCGGGTGGTCTGTCCTGAATTAGGCTAAATCAAGCTGCCAATCAACACCAAAGCCTCCCGTCGTCCCAGTCAGGCTGCAGGAAAATGGAAAGAAAGGGATCCTCAGGGCAGGCTCCTGAGCTGTGTCCTGGCTCTGACGTCATCAGGTATATGAGGCTGTGGGCACAGCACATGGGACACAGCACAGGGGACAGCGAGCGACCCACACTTGGAGAAATCAGGAGATGCACCACAGGGGCTCTGCATGGCAGGGAATGGGCAGTGTCAAAAATTGTGTATTTATACAGAAGGTAACAGTGCATATCTATCACAGACTTCCCATCTTAACCTTTCTACACGTGCAGTTCAGTGGTATTAAATCTATTCCCCTTGTTCTGCTACCATCACCACCATCTGTCCACACAACTCTTCTTCCTCCCAAAATGAAACTCTGTTCCCATCAAACTCCTGGGCAGAGCTGCCCCACCTGTGGCCCACAGTCTGACCCTTGACTTGTCACCTTTAGACTTGCTCCTAGTCTCCTGCACTATTTCTGCTCAAACACCCATCCCCATCATCACCCATCTCTAGGATGTCCTTAAATAGCAAAGCCTCAGAGAGAACAGACCTTGGGTGGGTGGTGTGGGACCGTGCAGCTGGAAGAAACTCAGCTCCTTCCAATTCCAGGTGAGGACCCCAATGGGCCAGGCAGCCAGCCAGTCAGGAAAGGACCAGAAGTGCTGGGGGCTGTGACCCCCGGTCCTGTGTCTGTCCACAACCCAACGCTACTGCCCAATTCACACTTGAGAAAAGTCTGTGCTTCTCCCACACAAAGCATCGAGCCTTACAGTCTCTGAGCCCTCAGATCATTGTGCATCTGTCTTGTGACACACACACACCTGCCCTGAGCTTTTAAGGACTCAGGTGGGCTGAGGGGTGGGAGATGCCAACTCTGATTGAAAGATGCCTGTGAGGAATCAAAGGTGCCACACAGGGCAATCTTCTCTGTTATCTACACAGTGGAGCTGCCCAAGCCCTACATCTCCAGCAACAACTCCAACCCCATAGAGGACAAGGATGCTGTGACCTTAACCTGTGAACCTGTGGCTGAGAACACAACCTACCTGTGGTGGGTAAACAATCAGAGCCTCTCGGTCAGTCCCAGGCTGCAGCTCTCCAATGGCAACAGGATCCTCACTCTACTCAGTGTCACACGGAATGACACAGGACCCTATGAATGTGGAATCCAGAACTCAGAGAGTGCAAAACGCAGTGACCCAGTCACCCTGAATGTCACCTGTGAGTATCTTCTGTTCCTCTGTGGCCCTGGTTTCCAATCCAAATCCATACAGCCAGAGGTTAGGACTCTCAGTTCTCCTCAGGTCCAAAGATTCAGACCAGACCGCCACTCCTGGACACCCAGGCTGGCCATAACTTCCTGCCCTGGGAAAACTAGGGCAAACCCAGCCTGGACCAAGAATAAGAGGGGAGGAGCTGCTCCTGTCTTGGGAGGCTCAGGGTCCACAGCCTGTGATGGGAGAAACAAGTGAATGTCTCAGACCCAGACTCAGGGAACATGAGGGTTATGGTTTGGACTTTTTAACACAGGATTGGGACAGGACTCAGAAGGACACTGTGGCCCTTCTCCAATCAGGAGCTTCCCCTTTCCTCTGATGACATCACCTGTGGTTTTGTTCTCTTTGTTCCAGATGGCCCAGACACCCCCATCATATCCCCCCCAGACTTGTCTTACCGTTCGGGAGCAAACCTCAACCTCTCCTGCCACTCGGACTCTAACCCATCCCCGCAGTATTCTTGGCTTATCAATGGGACACTGCGGCAACACACACAAGTTCTCTTTATCTCCAAAATCACATCAAACAATAACGGGGCCTATGCCTGTTTTGTCTCTAACTTGGCTACTGGTCGCAATAACTCCATAGTCAAGAACATCTCAGTCTCCTCTGGTAAGTGGCTTCTCTAGAGCACCAGCATCACGTTTTGGGGTGGAGTCTATCTGGTTCTCACAAAAGAGCCAAGAAGACATTTTCTTGCCCAGTCTGTGTTCCATGGGCACAAGGAAATCCCAAATTCTACCCTGAGCCCTCTCACTCCATCTCGGCTGACTCTTTCCTCCCCGGCTTCTCTGATATCTCATGGCTGACCTCGGGTCCAGCCTGGAATGTGGGGAGGGGGCTCCCTTAGCCCCAGAAGTCCCCCTGTAGTGAAAGGGGCTTCATAGTCCAGGAGAAAGAAGCGTTCTTAAGGTCGAGTTTCTCCTCTCTATCACCAATATGTCCCTTTCTGTCACCTCTTTGTGTTTTTTTAACCTACTCTACGAGCTACAAGGAACAAGGAGGTTTTGAAACAAGCTCACACTTTTTCCCCAAATGAGAGGAGGAAGCCCCTTGGATGAAGGTGGAGCAACTCAGACTCTGCTCCCTGCTCTGCGCCCGGCTCACCTGGTGACTGGCTCTGCCTTGGCTCCACTTGGTGTGGGACCGGGGCATGTGGAGAAGGTGTAAAGGTGGCCTGTTCTGAATCTGGTTAAATCGAGCTGCCAATCCACAGCACAGCCTCCCTCGGGTCAGGTTGCAGGGAAATGGGAAAAGAGGGAGCCTCGGGACAGACTCCTGAGCTGTGTCCTGGCTCTGAAGTCACTGGCTGTATAAGGCTGTGGACCCAGCACATGGGACACAGCACAGAGGACAGTGAGTGGCACACACTTGGAGAAATAGGGAGATTCAGCCACAGGGGCTCTGCATGGGAGGGAAGGGGCAGTGCCAGAAAGTGTGGATTTATAGAGAGGGTAAGTCTACCAGCCTGTATATATATCTAACATAAAACTTACCATTAACCATTTCTAAGCGTACAGTTAAGTGACACAGCATAAATATCAGTCAAGTATATTGCCCGGTGTGGTGGTTCATGCCTGTAATCCCAGCACTTTGGGAAGCCAAGGCAAGTGGATCACTTGAGGTCAGGAGTTCAAGATACAAAAAAAAAAAAAAAAAAAAAAGCTAGGCATGGTGGCAGATGCCTGTAATACCAGCTACTAGGGAGGCTGAGGCAGGAGAATTGCTTGAACCTGGGTGGCGGAGGTTGCAGTGAGCCAAGATTGTGCCACTGCACTCCAGGCTGGGTGACAGAGTGATACTCTTGTCACAAAAAAAAAGGAAAAATAAATCAAGTATCTTTATACTCTCGTGTAACCACACTATCCATTTCCAGAACTTTTTCATCTAAACATACTAAACCTCTGTACCCGATAAACAGTAACTCTCACTCCTTCTCCCCCTAAACCCTGGTAACCTCCATTCTACTTTCTGTCTCTAGGTAATCAACTATTCTAATGAGCTTACATACATGGAATTATATAATAGTTGTCCTTTTGTATCTGCTGTATTTCACTTAGTATAATGTCTTCAAGGTTCATCCATTTTGCACCATGTATCACAATTTTATTCCTTGTTAAGATTGAATAACATTCCATTGTATGGACATACCTCATTTTTCTATCCACTTATCTTTCAATGGACTTTTCAGTTGTTCCCATCTTTTGGCTATTGTGAGTAATGCTGCTGTGAACATCAGTATACAAATGTCGGTTCAAATTGCTGCTTTCAATTCTTTTTGGTGTATGTCCAGAAGTGGAATTGGTGGATCAAATGTTAATTATTTTTTTAATCTTTTGAGGAACCACCATACCATTTTCCATAGGTGCTAATATTTCACATTTCTCTCAGCAATGCACTAGAGTTCCAATTTTTCAACCTCCTTGAAAACACTTACTGTTTTGTAGCCATCCTGATGTGTGTGAGGTGGAGTGTCATTGTGGCTTTGATTTGCATATCTCTAAGTGTTAGTGATGTTGAGCATATTTGCATGTACTTGTTGGCCACTTGTATCTCTTCCTTGGAGAAATCTCTACTTTAGTCCTTCGTCCATTTATTAATTGGGTTTTTGGATTTTTGTGGTTGTTGATTTGTAATAGTTCTTCATATATTCTGGAAATTAATTCCCTATCAGATATATGATTTGCAAATATTTTTCCCATTTCATAGGTTGCCTTTTCACTTTCTCGATAATGTTCTTCGATATATAAAAGTTTTTAATTTTCTAGGCTGGGCACAGTGGCTCATGCCTGTAAATCCCAGAACTTTGGGAGGCCAAAGTGGGTGGATCATCAGGTCAGGAGATCAAGACCCTCCTGGCTAACATGGTGAAACTCCATCTCTACCAAAAATACAAAAAAAAATTAGCCCAGTGTGGTGTCAGGTGCCTATAGTTCCAGTTACTCGGGAGGCTGAGGCAGGAGAATGGCATGAACCCGGGAGGCGGAGCTTGCAGTGAGCCAAGATCACGCCACTGCACTCCAGCTTGGGCAACAGAGCGAGACTCCAATTAAAAAAAAAAAAGTTTTTAATTTTCATGAAGTCCAGTTTATCCATGTTTTTCTTTTGGTGCCTACTTGTTATAACCAAGATATCACCATGAAATTAAATGTCATTAAGCTTTTTTCCCTGTTTTCTTCTCAGAGTTTTATACTTTTCACTCTTACATTTAGGTCTTTGATCCATTTTAGGTTAATTTTCATATATGGTGTCAGGCAAAGATTCAACTTGTTCTTGTGGGTGGGTATTCAGCTTTCCCAATATCATTTATTGAAACAAATATCCTTTCCCCATTAAATGGTCTTGGCACCCTTGTCAAAAATAATTTGGCCATATATGCAAGCATTTCTTTCTGGGCTCTATATTCTATTCCATTGGTTTCAATATCTTCCTTTATGCCAGTACCACACTGTATTGATTACTGTGGCTTTATAGCAAATGCTGAAATCAGGAAGTGTGAGTCCTCCAGCTTCGTTCTTTATTTTCCAGATTGTTTGGCAATTTAGAGTCCTGAGAGTCCATATGAATTTTAGGATAGGTTTTTCTGTTTCTGCAAAAAATGTCAGTGGGACTCTGGTAGGAATTGCATTGAACCTGCAGCTCACTGTGGGCAGTATTGTCCTCCTAACAATATTGAGTTTTCACATTCATGAAAAAAATGTCTTTCCATTTATTGATGTTGTCTTTAATTTCTTTCAGCAATGTTTTATAGTTTTCAGGGTACAATCCTTTCACCTCCTTGGTTAAACTTATTTCTAACTATTTTATACTATTTTATGTTAATGTAAATTGGAAATTTTTTCTTAATTTCCTTTTAGATTGTTCATTGTTAATATATAGAAGTACAACTGATGTTTGCATGTTGATTTTGTATCCTGCAACATTACCAAATTTATTTATTAACTCTGACAGGTTCTTTTAATCTTTAGGGTTTTCTACATGTAAGTTCAAGTTATCTGATAACAGAGATCATTTTACTTCCTCTTTCCAATTTGGATGTCTTTTTTTTTCTTGCCTAATTTCTCTGGCTAGGATTTCTAATACTATGTTGGATAGATGTGGCAAAAGCAGGCATTCTTGTCTTGTTCCTGGTCTTACAGGGAAAGCTTTCAGTCTTTCTCCACTGAGCATCATGTTAGTATTGGGCTTTCCACATATTGCCTTTATTATGCTGAGGTGGTTCCTTTCCATTCATAATTGGAGTGTTTTTGTTATGAAAGAGTGGTGAATTTTGTCAAATGCTTTTATTGGTTCTATCTAATTATAGGTCTATTAAAATTAAATTTTTTGTGTGTTTCCAGGAATTTGTCCATTTCATCTTGGTCATTCAACAGTTTGCTGGCATACAATTATTCATAGCACTCTTGTAGTCCTTAATATTTCTGTAGAATTTGTAGCATTGCTGGCAATATCTCAATATTTTTTCTTTTTTTTCTTTTCAAGAGACAGGGTCTCACTCTGTAGCCCAGCCCAAGCTAGAGTGCAGTAGTACCATCACAACTTACTGCAGCCTCAACTCCTGCGCTCAAGTGATCCTCCTATCCCCGTCTCTTGAGAGGCTGGTACTACAGACATGTGCCACCATGTCTGGATAGTTTTCTAAGAAATTTTGTAGAGACTGTCTCCCTATGTTGCCTAGGCTGGTCTCGCCCTCCTGACCTCCAGCAATCTTCCTGTTTGAGTCTCCCAAGGTGCTGGGATTAATTATGTAAGCCACCATACCTCCATTTTCATTTCTGATTTTAGTAATTCGAATCTTCTTTTTTCTTAGCCAGTCTAATAAATGACTGTCAATTTTGTTGATCTTTTTTGAAGAACCAACTTTTGGTTTCATTGATTCCTTCTATTGTTTTCCATTTTCCATTTTATTTATTTCAACTCTAATCCTTATTTCCTTCATGTACTATCTGTGGTTTGAGGTGGTTCTTTTTCTATATCCTGAAGTTGTAAAGTTAGGTTGTTAATATGAGATCTCTCTTTATTTTTAACGTATTTACCATTTTAAATTTCTCACACAAGATTCTTAACTTCTCTGAGCCTTCAATTCTTCAACTGAAAATTGTAATAATTCTCATCACCAGGAAATGGAGGGAAAAAGGAAAATTGCAATAAGAGTGACTGTTCAATAGTATTGTTTTAAAGATTTAACGTAATATTCGATTAAGCCTTCAGCAAAATGCCACACACCGAGGGAAACTTCATAAATATTAGCTGCTATTATCACTACTGGTATTATTAGCTTGAAGTCAGGCAGTTCTAGAGCCAAATCCTAGATCCACTTCTCACTAATCATTTGACTTTGGATAAGTTTTTTCACTACTCCAAGCCTCTGTCATTTCATCTGTAAAATGGAAATCATGCCTACCCAACAGGGTTATTGTATGGATCAAATGAGATACCAGAAAAACATTTAAAGTAGCTAACATAGCATTAATCACCAGCTTGAGTTGACTGGTGAGAGCTAAGCCCCAAATGAAAACCCACTAGGACATGGTTACTGGCTAAAAATGGGGGAGAGAAAAAAAGTTAAGTGCAAAGAATCAAGCCTGGTATGTTAGTTTTCATCCACTGAGATGCAACCAAGATGGAATTAGAGATGCAAGATAATTTACTGGAGAAAACCACCATGAGGAAAAGTGGGAAGTGGGAGGAGCCTAAGAGAGACCTCAGACCACGATGCAGATCTGATTCCTGAAAAGGAGAAAGAGGAGAGAGTTTTAGATAGTGATGCAGTTCTCAGAGTTTCCACAAGGCTGGTGGGGCATCCTCAAGCCCCTCACCCATGAGAGAGAAGCAGAGTTTCCCAAAACTGGGCTTTTCATTCGCCTGCTGGGAACCCATGAGAAGTGAGTTCTCTGTGCAACGGACTCAGTAAATACAGAATGCACTAGCCTGGGCTTTCTGTCAATCAAGTCTCTGCCATGGAGACCCAACAGACTCTTATTTTTGCCTACCACAACTGAGACACTGAGAAAAAGATGCAACCATGAAAAGATAGAAAGTTCTAATGCCACGCAAAAATAGCAATCAGTCTTTCTCAAATTTCAAAGCCTTCGGAAATATCTGAGTGCAGAAAGGCCAGGGTGGAATTGACAGAAGACTGATCACCAACTGGAAACACAGTGAGAGAGAAAAAAAGTTGCAACCTTCCCACAAAACGAATGCATTCCTTGAAGGAACAAGTAGAGGCTACTTCATGCTGAGAGCTGGAACCTGGGGCACTCCACTGCAAAATAACATCACATTCATTCCTTCTCTTTTCTTTCCATGACAGGCGATTCAGCACCTGGAAGTTCTGGTCTCTCAGCTAGGGCTACTGTCGGCATCATAATTGGAATGCTGGTTGGGGTTGCTCTGATGTAGCAGCCGTGGTGTAGTTTCTGCAATTAAGAAAGACTGGTAGGTATGACAGCCTTTCCTCTTGTTCGGTTTCCTGCAGTGCGACTGCCATGCTTGGGAGAGAGAAAGGACTTCTTCGCCTGTATCTGGGACTGGATCTCCTCCTCCTACCCCCAAGCTCCTGCTTCTCAGCACTAATTCCTGCAGGTCTCTTCTTCCCTGGTCTTCATGCTCCCTGTACCCCACTGTCTCTTAGACATAATTATCCCCAGCCTCTGCTCATTTGTTTCCCAAATTCAATACATTGTCAAAGCCTCTGGGTCCTTTTTTAACATCTCTCACTTGTGTCATTCTCTCCATTCCCATAAACCTCAACAACTGCTCAAAGTCCTGCTTGACCCCTTGTTGCCAGTCTTTGAAATGTTTCTTGCATATGACTGCCTCATTACCTTCCTAAAATCTAGTTCACTCGCCTACTCAAGAAGACACAGGGACCTACTGTGGTCTGTTAGATAAGTTCACATTTCTTCTCTTTACTAAGCTTTCTCAATTCCTTTACCACCACTCCCTTGTATAATTCCGTCATCCGAATTAAATCTATCTCCCTACACATCCCTGCCTCTCCACCCCATATGAACATAGAATTCTTAGTTCCAATGTTACACCTAAAAACATGTCAAACAGGGTGACCTCCTTCCACCACCTGCACTGTGGAGTTACCCACACCCTTCATCACAAGCAACTTCTGACCTCATGAAGAACAAAGACTGTAGCATTAACATATGAGTCTTAAGCTCAGGACACAATCTACCTGTGGCTGAGAACCTTTTCCTGATAACCAATTCATGTGTTCATAGCAGATACAGAAATGAAGAAGGCAAGGTCCTTAATTCTATGACAGGAGACAAAACCGGAAAAATAATCGTAATACCAAAATAGAAAGGAGTGAACATCACGAGAAATCAGAGAAATCTGATGGAAAATATAGCTACACGTGGGAATCACTCAGAAACATTTTATAAAATGGATACTTAAGCCCCACTCCTAAATTCTGATTTACTGATCTGGAGTGGGACCCAGGCATTTATAGTTTTTAAGCCTCCCCAGATGCTACTAATGTGTAGCCAGGGTGGAGAAACCCTGTTCTAAATAGGTAGGACTTGGGGCTAAACCCATGACTTTCAGCTAGGAGTATTAGAATTGCCTATGGAGTTTTTCAACATACATAAGCCTATACTTTGTTGGCCCTGTTCATTAATGGGCTCCATCAGGAACTCAGGAATCCAGTTGAGAAACAGAAGCTAAATGGAAAGGCCATCTTATTTGACATGTTAAATTATATGGGAAGCACTGTCAAATGATAAGTGATGCTAAACCTTCTTTAAGTTATATTTATGGGTATGTTATTGATGTGAGTGTTCCAAAAGTTATATAAGAAATTCTAGAAATCTAACAGGTTGTCAGCCATAATGTCATATGCCACAGAAGTAACTAAATTTCTATGTGAGTTGTGTTCTTACTATAATAAATTCTCATCAGATTTTTAACCATACTCATTTTAAATCTTTGTCATTCACAGACAGTTGTTTTGATTCTTCCTTAAAGCATTTGCAACAGCTACAGTCTAAAATTGCCTCTTTACCAAGGATATTTATAGAAAAGACTCTGACCAGAGATCGAGACCATCCTAGCCAATATGGTGAAACCCCATCTCTACGGAATTAGCTGGGCGTGGTGGTGTGCTCCTGTAGTCCCAGCTACTCGGGAGGCTGAGGCAGGAGAATCGCTTGAACCTGGGAAGCAGAGATTGCAGTGAGCCGAGATCGCGCCACTGCACTCCAGCCTGGCGACAGAGCAAGACTCCATATCAAAAAAAAAAAAAAAGTATATATATATATGAAAGAAAAGACTCTGACCTGTACTCTTGAATGAAAGTTTCTGATACCACTGGACTGTCTGAGAATTTCCAAAACGTAATGAACAAACTGACAGCTTCATGAAACTGCCGACCAAGATCAAGCAGAGAAAATAATTAATTTCATGGGACCAAATGAACTAATGAGGATAATATTTTCATAAATTTTTTTTGAAATTTTGCTGATTCTTTAAATGTCTTGTTTCCCAGATTTCAGGAAACTTTTTTTCCTTTGCGCTATCTACAGCTTACAACAATTTGATAAAATATACTTTTGTGAATAAACATTGAGACATTTACATTTTCTCCCTATGTGGTCGCTCCAGACTTGGGAAACTATTCATGAATATTTATATTGTATGGTAATATGTTTATTGTACAAGTTCAATAACTCTGCTCTTTGTATAACAGAATACATTTGAAAACATTGATTATATTACTAAGACTTTGACTATAATGTCATTATTTGAGGATATAAACCCATAGGTAATAAACCCATAGGTACTGCAGACAAAGTCTGAAGTCAGCCTTGGTTTGGCTTCCTAGTGTCAACTAAACTTCTAAAAGTTTAATCTGAGATTCCCTATTAAAACTTCCAGCGAAGCAACTTTTAAAAAGTCTATGTGGTCAGTCGCTACTCTTGCCGCAGTTATGAAAAGAATGAGGCCAAGTTTGATGAAAATAAACTTATTTAAAAGAAAACAAATTTGTCTTATTGGGATTATCTTTGGTAGAAATAGAGATGCCTATGGAGAGAAATTATGTTGAAAAGAAAAACTATAGTACACCTGTTATGAGGCTGTCACTTTGTACATTGTTACTGAGTTTTTATTATCCACCTGTAGGCTAGAGTGGACCCTGCGTTCTTTCACTTTCTTCAATCCCATTTTCTGTCATGGAATCACTAAGAACAAAGTCTGCTCTGTTCCTGAAGCTCTATAAGCTACAGATGGATAACTCAATGTAAATTTCATGAGAAAACGTTCATGCCTAAGGTGTGGGCCACTCAGAGCTCACCAATATGTTCAACACCATAACTAGAGACACTGAAACTGCAAACCAGGACAAGAAGTTGACAACTTCACACTGTGGACAGCTTTTCTCAAGATGTCAGAACAAGGCTTCCCACCATGATGAGGCTCCTACCCCTCTTAATTTGTCTTTGCTCATTGCTGCCTCTTTCACTTGGCAGGATAATGCTGTCATTAGAATTTCACAGGAAGTATCTTCTGAGGGTAGCTTAACAGAGTATCAGATCTCTCATATCACTCCCAAATTTTTACATAAGAGATCCTTTAGTCCACTCAATGGCTGACATTAGCAGCATCTTTAATACAACTGTTGGTTCAAATGTATGGTGGTCCCTTTTAGAGTTACACTTCTAGACTCACCTGTTCTCACTCCCTGTTTTAATGTAACCCAGGCATGAGATGCTAGATAATAGAATTGCTACCTACTAGCTGAACAGGAAAGAGCCTGTGCTGTTTCTGACACTTCTTGTTGCACATAAATAAATACAATGGGTATACAGAGACTCAGTTGCAGAAATTAACAAACATCCTGCTTGGTTAAAATGGGTAGATTCATCTGGCTCATTCTTTATTCCATTTTAGTTGGTTTGCATCTTGCCTAAGGTGCATACTCCAAACTCTTGGTATTATTCTCCTGATAGTCACACTAGTAGTCTCCCTGGTGTGCTGTAATCTCTAAAAGCTTTAAATGTTTGCATGCAGCTATCCATCAAATGTCAAATGGTCTCTCTTTGGCTGGTGACAAAACTCAAAGGAATGTGTGATCAGGAAGACATCACAACCTATGAATGATGGAAGCCCAAAATGATGGTAGCTGAGAGTAATGTCAATGCTTTAAGTTTCGGTCACACTCTCACCTAAGTGAGTGTATAAAGACTCCAAAATAGGGCCACTGATGTTAAATGTTACATACTCCAACTGAAATTTTAAGAAAGCAGATAGATCCCAAAACAGATCAATAAAAAAAAAAATGGCCAGGCACAGTGGCTAACGCCTATAATCCCAGCACTTTGGGAGGGCGAAGCAGGCGGATAACAAGGACAGGAGTTTGAGACCAGCCTGACCAACGTGGTGAAATTCCGTCTCTACTAGAAATACAAAAATTAGCTGGGTGTGGTGGCACACACCTGTAATCCCAGCTATTCAGGAGGCTGAGGCAGGAGAATTGCTTGAACTTGGGAGGCAAAGATTGCAGTGAGCCAAGATTGCGCCACCGCACTCCAGCCTGGATGACAGAGTGAGACTCCACCTCAGAAAAAAAAAAAAAAAAAGAGATTCCAATCTACTTGAGGTCCCCCTTACTTTAATTTTTATAAAAAAGTAACCTGAATTAACCTGATGTTAACCAATACATTTATTTCTACTGCTCTCTTTTCTTGTTCAAATTTGACAAAACCCACTGTTCTGTTTATTGTATTGCCAAAGGGGAACTATCACTGTTTTTGTAAAGTGGGACCTGCCCAAATTATAAATCCCAAATAAAAGCCAATTAGATTTATAACTAAAGCTGCTGTAATTTTGTCTTTTGATATGAGTTCACAGCCAGCAATGGCCAGTGGAGTCTCTCAGGCTGCATCATTCTCACCCTGACCCTCCTGCCTTCCTCTTTCCCTTACAAGGACCCTTCTGTTACACTGAGCCCACGCAGATAATCCAGAATAACCTCCCATCTCAAGATTCTTAACCTCATCACATCTGGAAAGTCTTTTTGCCAAATAAAAGTATTATGCCTTGGCTCCAGGGATTAGGATGTGGACATTTTTAGGAGGTCATTATTCTGCCCAACACAGGTACCTTTTATAAACTTCACCCACAACAAAAATTTGCTTTGCCTGCCTTCTGTGTCTCACTTTTCTGTCTGTGCACAAAGTTGAGGGTGAAACACACCAGCTCTGCTATGAACTGGCTGGATGACCCTGGACCACTCACTCCACCTCTCTCAGCCTCTTCTCATCTGAAGCACAAGAGTGATTCTTACTGCATCAGAAAATTTACATGAAAGGGTAAACTAAGATGTGTAAGGCATTAGACACAGAGCCTGGTACCTGATGAGCCCTTGGTAAACATTCTTTGCAGTT